AGAGAGACGGACGCACGGTAGCCCTGCCCATGTCTCCCAAAAAAGACGAGCTTGTAAGAGGCGGTGTCGTCGGCGCCATTCAGCTCGCGTAGCTTATCGAGAAGACTGCTCCAGCGCGTCTCTGATTCGTCGATGAGTCCAAATCGTGGGGGAACCTGCATGGTCCACGGTCGGAAGGAGGCAAGATGAAGCTCAAACGATAACGCACGGCACCGATGGCGATTGGATCCGCGAGGCGGTCGTCTTGCGCGAAGAATCCAGGGATGGTCTATGAACAGATTCTCGATGGGTGCTTGCTGAAAGGGAGATGGACTGACTTGGTACGAGAAGGTGGACATGGTGGTGGTTCGGGTGCAAGAGGCGATTGATGGGTGACGCCAAGATCACGGGAGTTGATCCGAAGCCGCTCACTGAGTCGCTGGGCATTATATCGGCATCCGCAGACATTTCTGCAAATCGAGAAAAGCTCAGGTCATTAGAGTATCCCGCGCCTTTTGTAAGTTCTCCTTCGATCGACTTAGGCCAATTATTGCCAGCAATCTGCAGTATTCAGTCCAATGGAGGCAGACGCGTTGCAGGAGTTCCTGGGAGACCCACAAGAAAGTATCAGAGTATCAGTTTGTTTGAATTCCAAGAGTTGTTACAGGTACTAGCGGGCCAAACCGTTTGTATGAGGTAAAAGAGTCGTCTCTTTCTCATCTCTCCTCTCTCTGCCCAATCTCAGCGTGCAAATCCATCGGCGGGCGTATTCGGGACGGAGTAGACGGAAGCTGGTGCCTTTGCGACGGAGAATACGAATGCGAGAATGTTGAATCGATATAGTGCTCGTGGTACAATGTCGGTTCGGAATCGGATGAATATGCAATGTGTTCGAGGTTCGGATAGCAAGGCAAGAGCGGCAGTGGCGGACGGTGTTCAGAATAAAAGCCCTATGGACACTCGTGAGGCTTCAGATTTTGATAGAGGGAGAGACGCACACTCATGGGACGGGTAAAGCAGTACGGGATGAGTGTTGCTAGAAGGGAAACAGTCAAGCCGACTCCCCACGCATGAGTGGAGGATGAACGCACCTTGTCCATAAGGTTGCCATCGGAAACAGGGCGCGTAGCTGCCGTTGGCTGGGATGAGATCTTTTTCTTCTTCTTCGTCGCCCCACCGTCAGCCGATCCTTCCGCCTTGCGCTTTCCATCACTAGACAGCGGAAAAGACGACGTCAACGAAGAGGATAAGATTGAATCTGAAAGAGACGCACCGAACAGCCGCAGCAGCCCCATCATACATTCTCTGCATTGAATCGCGCACATTATCCACCGAATCGAGCAAAGCCCCCAACTCCGCGCGCTCCTTCCCCAACTTGAGCTCCCGGCACTCCAACTCCTGCTCTTTACGATCCAATTCAATCTGCCTCTCCTTGAGCGCAGAATACTTCTTGCTCAACGGTCTTGACCTGGGACTCGAGCCTTGCCATCTCGCGGGATTGGGCGGTGATCAAGCTCCAGCTTTCTTCGACTTCCTTACGGCGCTCCTGGATGGCTTGGTGGAGCAGAGCAATCGACTGGGAATCTGGGTCCATTTGCGATGGTGGTGGTAGAGAGCAAAGACGTCTTTGTTTATGATTGTAGACGCGACATTTGACGTGCCGGCCACTGATCCGTTCGTTCTAGAATCTATCTGATTCTACTTATACGAGTCGTACAGCTATGGTTACTTGGAAAGCGCGGACAACATGCCACGTAAACGCGATCATACTCTTCTCCAACAATCCATCTCTCCCTCTCTGGAGTCCGCGTCTAGGCATCCTCGGCACGAATAACAGATTTGAAACACCGCGAATAATTCTTTGAGACGAAGGCTGGAGCCAATTGACTGAGACGATGACTGGCTGATAGTACACTGTGTGTTTTGAGTCGGCATTCGTATGTGTTCGGGATTCAACAATGCAGAGACGGCGGCAAATCAGACGGACGACGGTGTACAATCAGCGGGCTGGGTATGGTAAGTGCCAGAAAATGAACAAAGACGGTGCGTACATGCAGAGGGCTGAGTAGTCGGTGCCTTTGCGCGCGACGTCGACGGGCGTTGCTGAAGAGACCTCGAGGTGAGTCGTTGTCGGCGTGAAGAGAGCAACATCGCACCTGATCCGGGGAGTTACTCTGCGGCTTGACATCCGACTGACGTTTGGCTTTCTTTGCTGCGCCGTCCAAAGGATCCTCTGCCGCCTTGCGCTTTCCGGGACTGTTTGCCACGATGAGCTCGAAAGGAAAGGAAAGAACAAGCTAACGACGCACCGCACAAAGTCAGCTGCACCACCACACAGACTCCGAATCCCATCCCGCACCCTCCCCATCTCGCTAGTAGCCTTCTCCGCTGACGCAAGCCATCCACGCAGCTCCGAACGCTGTCCATCCAACTTGCGCGCCTGCGTGTCCAAATCGTCCTTCTTGATCGCCAGTGCTCTCAGTTTCTCGACCTCCTTGCGTAACTTATCGCGCTCCTCGGTGACCTCGTCCACCTCTTCAGTAAGCTCGTCCACCTGGTCGGTCAGATCCTCGATTTGCTTCTTGAGGGACTCAATTTCGTCCGCGCGAGAGGAGACAATGCGCCAGCTTTGTTCAGTTTCCTTGCGACGCTGGTCGAGGGCGCGTTGGATGAGAGTGAGGGAATCCATTCGCGATTGATCGTGGTGGTACAGAGCAAGCAGTGACGTGATGCTTGGTCTTGTGGACAGCGTCACACAGTCACAACATTTTCTCTTCTCCATCATGTTCTCTGCTTCTCTGTCCCGTTGGATTCAGGCGGCTCTAGTGCACAATATTGTGCCTCTGATGGTGTGTCTTCTCCTCATGAACACGAGCCAGCGTTCTGACTGCTCAATCGGATCGGGAACGGACGCCGAACACCGGCTAGTACTTAGCCTCCAGTTCAACGTTGGGTATGGCAGAGGAGACACTCGATAGCGAAAAGTATCGCGTCTGCAGCAGGTTGTCCTCGAGTAATCTCCTCGCAGAAGTTGTTCGTTCGAACCGGGCTCGAGTGGATACTTGGTGGATAAGGTGTACACCTTTTTCCACCCTCGCCCAACACTGCATTCCGCGACCGTGTAGGCAAGGCTGTGCCTTGCAGTGCCGACATCTGCCTACCGCCTTAGGCACACCATTTTTGCTGTGCCTAGGTCAGAAAAATACAAACTGTGCCTCGCTGTGCCGACCCTCTGCCTACCCTCTGCCTACCCCCAGCAGTAGCTGTCCCTACCGCTGGGCCTCTTCACCTCTCTTCACCTGGCCTCGCTGCAACGGCGCCTCCACGCTCTGACAGCTGTGTGAGCCTCACAGATCTGAGTATCACCCTCCGCCAAACGGCGTCCCTCGGTTGTGGACGGAAGAATCGGACAGCGTCGAGTTAACTGTTATGAACAAGTGAGGCCTGGGCTGAGGAAGAAGTCGACAACGAGCTGCGTGAATGAAGAGGACTGAGCAGAAAACGGCAAAATTTGCCGACTTTTTGTGTGTCCACTGTCAGATGGGTATCAAATGACTTTCTCATGTCTTGTCAAGCCACCCCACGCCCTACCCCAGCAAGTCGGGCGACTCTTGGGCGCCTTGGGGGATGTGTACAACGGCGAAACTAAACTAAGACCACCTAGGCAGAGGGAAACTCACCCAACTCAGCTGGGTCTATCCTCAACCGTGCCGACATGTGCCTACACCCCTAGGCACACCCTGTGCCTATCAAGCCTCGGAATGCAGTGCAATTCCATCGGCCTTCGCTCTCAATGGTGCCACGAACCACGAGCGGATGCGCAACTTTCAGTTCCCCTGGATATTCCGGGTAGTTCAAATTGAAGAATCTACGCGTATTTGATGTTTTGATTCAAGTGCGCACAGACCTAGTATGCGTGTATTTCTCGCCAGCCGGTTGGTCCTCCAAGGTCGAGTGGTGACATTCAGTTTTCGGGTGGAGGGCTCGACGGTTATCGGATTATCGCGAGAAACCAAACCAGTGGTCTTTTGCTCATGAACCTGAGCCAGTGTTCTGACTCCTCAGTCGAGGACACCGAACTCTAGCCTCCAGTTCAACTTTCAGCTTGGAAGAGGAACACTCTATGGCGAAAGGTATCGCGTCTGCTGCAGGTCACCGTGGACTTTACTATGCTCGCAGAAGTTGCTCGTTCGAACCGGGCTCGAGTGGGTCACGAAGAATTGCAGCATTTTTTGCCCTGCCTCATTTTCATCCGCTTTGGCGGCCCAATATCGTACGTAGCCCAGGCTCTCTAGTCACGCAAGAGTGGGCCAGTTGTAAATTGGGCCGATGTCACTTACAACGCACGTTGAGCACTTGGGGAGCGGAATCCATGATCTATACGGTGCACCACAGCAGCCGTAGGCAAATACGATAGCAAATACGATAACTGCACGAGCAGAGCAGGCGGGAAACCTCGTCCCAGTCGGCGCTCAACCGGTCGACGGGGATACATAACCGAATGATGCCTGGTTGAGGAATGCTGATGAATGTTGATGACAACAGAATCGCCATGGAAGCCGAACGCTAGCGTCCACATCAACTTTGGGTTTGGGAGAGGAACACTCGATAGCGAAAAAGTATCGCATCTGCAGTAGGTTATCCGGCACATTTCCGCGCCAGCAGAGGTTGTTCGTTCGAACCGGGCTCGAGTCGATAAGATCTAGCCGTGCACTATGAACTCTCTTTTTCCCTCCCCTCGTCTAATTTCTTGCGTTACGGCCGGCCCAAGGCCCGCACAGTAGCCCAGGCTTTCTAGACACGCAATAGTAGACCAGTTGTAAACTGGGCTGACGTAACTTCCAGCTCACGCTTGTTGGAAGGCCATTGGAGAGCCTTCCAGGATCCACACCACAGCAGGCGTAATACAAATATGATAGCTTCACGAACAGAGCAGAAGGCAAAGCTCATCACAGGCGGCACCTATCCGGCTGAATGATCCCTGGCAACAGCCCACTTGATGAATGTTGATAATGGAGGAACACTCGATAGCGAAAGGCATCGCGTCTGCTGCGCCTGTTGACTTTATTATGTCCGCAGAAGTTGCTCGTTCGAACCGGGCTCGAGTGGATGGAATCGGCACCGCAAGGTTTTTTGCCCTGGCATCGCGGAACCAGCCCCGTTGAAATTCCGCTGGTTGTGATGCCCGATCACTCTAAGGATCACCTCGGCGCTCCGGCGATCACGGCATATGCACAGCTAATACACAGCCTCTGCGCTGCGGGCCGACTGTGCTCGCAGTTCAACGCAGTTCAAAGCGGTCAGGTGGGTGGCGCACGGACACCCGTGGACAGTATAAATAGGTCTCTTTCGTAGTCAGTAGATAGGCATTCTGAATATTATAGATTTATCGACTCAAGCCTCGTGTTTACGACGAATCTGCAACACTCGGAATCTCCGTGTCTATGACTTCTACATCAAGAACTCCGTAGCCTCACAACGATCAGGGACATCGATGAATTGATGAATACGATCAGCGCCAAGTCCAGACCAGGTGTTCCGAGCTTGAGACGGATCGCCGCGCCAGGACACCGAAGCAAATTCGTGTGCCGATCACACTGGGCAGGTTTCGGCTCGTCTTGGCAGGTTGCTGAAGCAGTCCCCCTGACCTCCCTTGTCATGAGAATCGAGATATTGGGCGCCCACCAAACGCCTAAATTACCGACGACGGGGAACGTTCAACGGGAAACTTCACACCAGTGACCATCCGGGTTCTGGGTCGCGGACAGTGTTCCTGAACTCAGGTCGAGCCAAAACTGCCCCTCGAGGGAACTCCGCCAAGTTTCAACTCTTGGATTTATCGTCCAGTTGCGTGGTGACGACCCATTGCGAATTCGACGCGACGATTTTCGATGCGGTGCCTGTCACCGCTCGATCCAGACTTGTTTGGTGCATGTCTGGATGAGGCACGGACGTGCAAGACGCCATAGAGCCAACTAGTCCCATAATGCCATTATTGGGCGATCCGCCGTACTACAGTAATTATTTCTGCTCCTCGCAGAAACACTCGTAAGTACGGGTTATGGAATATTTCTTGGCGATCGGAAGTCGGCTGTGACATCTCTCTGAGACCGCCGATGGTGTATTAATTAACCCTGACGTCTAGAAACCAGCATATCCAACTGTGTTCAATGTGTTTGACCTCCGTTTGTATAAAGACCTGCATAGGATGCCACCATTCCTCAGCCAGTTTTTTCTTCTTCTTCGGTCTCCACTCAGATACTGCGTAGTGAGTACTCCCTCTCATCCATTTCCAAACACCCACTAACCTACCTCCCAGTCTTTCCCACCTTTCATTCTAACCTCTTTACATTTGCTTCGCCCAACTCCTTTTATTCTTCCTTATTCCAACTACCACCGCACCTTTTTCCAATCACCATGTACGCCAAGACCACCGTCGTCTCCCTCCTCCTCGCTTCCTCGGCGTTCGCCGCTCCGCTCTCCCAAGAGGCTGTCGAGGCCCGTGAGCTCGAGGCCCGCGTCCGCCTCCCCACCGGTGCCCTCGCCGGCCTCGCCAAGACCTTCGGGAAGGGCGTGCTCAGCGGTGGCGCTATCACCGGTCTCCTGAGCCTTTTGGGCGGGGTCGGTGGCGACGACTCGTCTTCCTCCGCGTGAGTATTCTTTCACTTGGTCCACATATCTCATCTCATCCCTGTTTCTAGCCGCCGTGACCTCGAGGCCCGTGCCTGGTCTCGCCGGCGTTCTCGAGAAGCTCATCGGCGCCGGCGGCGAGTCTCTCGAGAGTGTCATCAAGAAGGCAATCCTCGGTGGTGCCGCGTCCGGTGTCGCAGTTGAAGGGTACGTCTATGATGAATCTCCCTCCTCGAATATCACCTCATCTGCTTTGTCTAGCGTCAACGCCGTGGCTGGTAAGCGTGCCGTCGCAGGCAGCGTTGCCGGTGCCGCCGCAAAGTCCGGCCTCGGCAAAACCATCGGTAACGGAGTCGCCGACGGCCTCGGCAGCGCTCTCGGCGGTCTCGGAATCGCCGCGATCCTCGGCAAGCTCTTCGGTGACGACTCCTCCCCTGCCACACGCGCGATGGCCGACCTGTCCGACGAGGAGGTCAACACGCTCCTCGAGTGGATCGGTACCCACCCTTCCGACACCAACAACGTCGACAAGCGTGCGGCCATCACCTCCTCCGTCGGCAAGGGCCTTGCTGGTATTGGTGCGGGTCTTGCGGCGAGCCAAGGCATCCAAGCTGCCATCGAGAAGCTCGAGAGCTTGTTCCACCGCGAGGCCAGCTTCGACGAGCTCGACTAAATGCCTGAGTGTTATCTTGCAGATTAAAGTTAGAGTATCGTACACGAATTCAAACTTTGTCTGTAGCGCTCTTTCGTAGTGTTGGGATGCGCATTGGAATGGCGGTTGATCTTCTTTTCTTGCTTGTCTGAGTCCGTGTGAGCCCGCGAACGCCCCCGAGATATCAACAACAAGGTATTCGCCGCACTAAAACAGGGCGTCGCAAGTCGAACAAAGCGGCGGAGAAATCAGAATCGTTAGAAAAAATAACTCGATGCCAGGCACTTCAAGTAGCGTAGATCCTCAACAAATCGGATTACATTCAGAATCCCAATACGACTATCCGATCGCGCATCTACACCTCAAAGACATGAACAACGTGCCCACGAGTAGAAGACGAGAACCACTCACGGTACCGAGAATCCAATCCTGATCGATCATAAGATCATTAAAATCCCATTCAACAGCGCGAGTGGTGCTGCGGTAGGGTAAGGCATGTAGTGACGGGGTATTTGAAAGGCCCATCATTGGGAATGGTGCTGGGTCGCACGACTAGGCTGTCCGTATCCTCTGTCGCGCCGGACGCGATCGTCGGACCAAAGTCAAGAATCTGGATGTGTTTCTTCTCGGAAGTCGGCATCAGGACGCGCTTCGCCGTATACATGGCTAACGTCGTTCGGTGAGTTGTGTAAGAGTACAATGGTGAGGAAGGACTAACCGGGGCCAGTAGAAATGATCTCCCTCAAAGATACGGGTGGAGTCCGGACCCCAATCCGCCCAAGGGACGTCGACTACATGCCGATTCACGCATATACCGCATGAACGTGCGGTGATGCACGACAAGATACAGAGACTCCAAGTCGTCCGGGTACTCCAAGACTATGAAGAATACACGGCGCTCGTTTGCTGGGCGGAATCTACCGGACGTCGGGTGGGCGCAGAGAGGCTGACTCCGGATGCGCACGGCGGAGATTTCCTCCTCCAAGTCCTCCGAAAGCTCTGGAAAACATAGACTTGCCACGCGTGAAGTACCAACAGCACCGTGGGCCGTGAGGGTGAATAAATCGATACGGCCTGTGTCGAGGGGTGAAGTCAGAACAAAGGAGCGAGGGGAGAGAAATTGGAAGTCGAGGTGTTCCGTTGTTGATTCATGGTCCTGGGCCATAATGTGTAAGCAAGCATACGATGGCAGTGAATGTCGAAAACGTACCACGATCAACACCCCCGTACGCCAATTCCAGAGCTGTAACCGTCCCGGTTGGACAAAAGATACACCAATCACGTCGTCCGCAAGCCGGATGGCCTGAGGCAGTCCTTCCACCGGGAAAGTGATCTTAGACTCGCCGGCGCACGGATGAGGTTCGTGCGACGACAGAGTACGAAAGACCAGACTGGCTAAACCTGAGCCGGGATAGTATAAAGCGACGAATAAATCCTGCGTCGGGTCCATAGCAAAGTCCTCGAATTTTTCCAATTCGATGCCAAGAGGATGCCTGGCGAAGTGTGCATTTGCACCGAGATGGGGAAGTGAGAGGGTGGAGAAATCCGGAGAGCGCCCTTGCAGTGCAAAAACGCCGCCGACCAGGTCGTAAGCGAAACAATTGTGCAATGATGCCACGTCGACGACGGTCTCGGACCTCCACTGCAGAGTCTGCCACGTCCGCCGACGCTTGACGAGAGCTTGCAACTTGTCTGCAACGGGGGAAGGGTCCAAGCCGGCGTCAAGGAGGCCATTTTTCCATAGTTCGGCGGCATACTGCAGTGCAGGGGAAGTGGTGATCGTTTGGTGCCATGCCCGCGAAACCTTCACGCGTTGTTGTAAAGATGTCGAGGAAATGTGTTGTATGTGAGCTCACCGACGAAAACCCGAGCATAGATGCTGGGTCTAGAAGGGAGAGTATGTGGCAGAGCACCTCTGGAGGCATATCGGCGAAATTCGTCATGGCGGTAAGAGGACAAGCGGCAAGGCGGTGCTTTGAAGTTGGCTATGCTTGGGCCCATCACTGATGACTCTCGTTCCGCCGCGGCCGTCATAAGCTTCGAAGCCCCAGCGAAACCGCAACAGCAGCAGAAAACAGAGGAAATCCAGTCAAACTTGGAGCACATCCGCAATTCAGAAACAACTTAGTTGAGATCACGCCTTGATCACGCCGATCGACGGCTGAAACTACCGCGGGAACTCTTTCGGCGTCGTACCTGGGCAACTTGAGCAGCTTTCTCAATATCAACGCGGTCTCAACAAATCCGTGAAACTGACCTTGCCGATTTCGAACACCCGAAACCACGGCGCATGGCCCACGGACACGCAACGCTTGCGCAACGCAATCGGGTAGGCTTTCGCGGCTTTCTCACCAGAAGACCTACATGAGAACGAGCAGGTTTGACAGTGAGAGCAGCAAAAGCTCTCATCACCCAACATACCAAGCATAACCTCACCGAAATCAACACATACAAAACCACACCGCGTAGATTCCCCGCTGGTGGGATTGCACCGCCGAGCCAACTGGCGGCACGGTAGCGAGTCTAATCCAATGCCGGCGAATCAAGAGTGGAATCAGCACGCACGCCGTCACTGCCGTCGTCGAGCTTGCATTTTTTACTATCAAATGCCGATCGAGTAAGCCGGCGACCAAGGGGTAGACGACATGGACCACGCACCTGCTACTCTCCTCTAAAACCTTGCCGGCTTCGCTCAAAAGCCGTGTCAACTCGTTCCTAGCCTTCTCAGCCGACGCGACGAGGATCCGCTCTCGCCTCAGCTCCGCCTCCCTCTCCTTGAGCTCCTTCTTCAGGCTTGCAATCTCGCGCGCTTGTTCCTGGATGAGTG